TGATGGGAATGATTGAAAACCAGCAATTATTCATGTTTAGCATAATGGTTGATTGCTTAGGGTAGATTTTTGTAATTTGATTGGTTGCTTGGTTGGAAATGAGTGTTGGACATCTATCAGTGAATGAGCAGTTGTTTGATTTAGTTTAAAATTTCGTTAACGTGTTTGTTTTATTAGAATAATTTCAATATTTGCTTGTTTTAATTTTTGTTACTTTTCGTTTATTTGAATACTTTCAGCTGCGGTCAAAGTTAAAGCAAAATCCAACGGTACAGTGATAACATTAACGAGCGATGTACAATGTTTTTTATACCTATTTTAAGACAGTTTTTTCGAACAAAATGGCGAATGTTCATTATCGAACGATGATTGCACGATCGAAAGGAGATATGAGTTTTGCTAATTGAAGATAAATAACAACTGATTTATACTGTAAGATAGTCTGTGGTAAACAGAATCTAATAACATGTAAAAATTTGGTCCTTAAACTTAAAACAGCGTAACCATAGTCCTTTTCGGTCGAGAAATCTCCCTTCGACGATCGTCATTCGTCGTTCTCCCCGACAACGTTTTTTGAAATAGTTGTATCTGTATATGAATTAACAATCTGTAAATAGTATTCTTGGTGTACAAGTTACATCATCACCGCCATGTTGGATGAAGATCACCAAGCATTCCTCATTAGTTTCTCTTGTTCATTCATCCAACAAGGCGGCGATAGCTTTGTTCTTTATTTCTCAGGGGATTGAAGAATTGGACTAAGAGCTCATAAATTATTAATGAATTTTAACGTTTATTTATTCAGTGAGTCCAATAAGGTCTAAAGATGGTTTGTGCCTACAGCCAATGACAGCGAACTGCTCGCCATCAAATGGAACTGCCATCATCTACCATGGTACTGGAGGTGTAAATGTGCAATGTGATAAAAACTACATGGAGTTCACCTTCGCTAATGGTATACTAAAGCACACTTGTAGTGGCATGTATCTCTGTCCTGAACCACTATGTAAGTGTAATGATTTACAATCCAGGCTAAGTTCTTTGTTACTTTGTATAACCACAGGCAACCCAAGCTAAGCATTTGACTAGCAGATTTAGCGATATCTGTAGTGCATGTAAATATGAACTTTTTGAAAGAAAGAAATGGTAAAAACTTTTGTCTTACCTTTGGATGTGGTTTTGTTTACGAAATGTGGCGTAATTTGCCGAAATTTCCCACTCTTTACTTATATCACTGATATTCTTTCAGCATTATAGATATCGCTAAATCTGCTAGTCAAATGATTAGCTTGGGTTGCCTGTGGTATAACAAATAATTTATGTAGCTCAATAGCTTTATACGTCAGCTATCTTGTATCATGAAGAAATTATGGGATGTTCAGGAGGCAAAAACAAACATGTCGATGAATGACAAAAAAGTCTAAAAAATCAATGTTGTAACAATGTCAATACCGTATAGACGCGGCCTTGCATGTGACGTCAAAGTAGCTTTATCTGGAGGACAAAACAATAAGAATTTGTCCTCATCCATTGTTTTGTCCTCCAGTTAAAGCTTTATTCCCACGAACTATAAGGGGTTTATAGTCGTTCAGTGTCCGGTACTGAAAGCAGTAGAATCCAAGATGGCGGTCGTATTGGTAAAATATTTCTTTCAAGATGCCGGAAGTAATGGCATTAATATCAAATTTATTGTCTAGTGTATGATGTCGGCACCACCCTCTGGGATGGAATTCGTATGGTTTTGATCGAGAAAGGCTGCCATCCTCACCAAG